CTATAAATATTTATGATTCGTTTTAACAAAACAATGAATAAACTTTGTTGCAATTGAAAATTTAAACAGTCTGAACTAACGCAGATGTTACGGCTGCTTTTTGTTCAGTGTAACTGAAGAATAACTACTGGTGAACAACGTTTCAGATCACATGGGGGACAAACATAAGGGGAGGTATGGTGATTTGGGTTTAACTGTGCGTTTACGATTATTGCACTTGTATAGCGACCTGCATGCACGTGTATGTGGGTCTGCTTGTACTAGTCCTGATAAATGCCGATTTTATTTTTCTATCCCACTGAGGTACAGGTGCTGTTTAATATGGATAACGTCTTCTTTTTGTATGGCGCAACCAAGGGGTCGAATCACCGACCTTCCGTTTCCTGAACGTTCTATCCAATAGAGGCGGTTTTCAGAAACATTAAGCCACTATCTGATAAACACGGCAGCTTACAATGCGAATAAGATCTTAGTAAGTAGTTCACGTTAATGGCGTGTATAGTGTATCTCATCCCAAATGAATATTTAATTACCCATTGACGAATGGCAATTATCTGCAACAGGCACCTTCTAAAACCGTAGCGGTTATTTCATAACAGACTTGAGGCTGTTATACAACATATAATGCAGGCGATTGACCTCTCGTGGGACTCCAGCTTTCAAGCATGAGTAGATTCTTGTCATTATGCCATTGTAACATGACTTTCACACCTCCTACCCACCAACACTTACTTTTGAAAACAGTTCCTTGTCCAACAGCTAGAGCAGAACATACAGTACATACCCCTTTCGCCTGGTGTCTTCTTTTCTGGAATTCATTAAAATAATTTTCATGACTATTTTCCTAATTACTCCCTATGGATTTGTTTCGACCGACATTCGAAGCTGATTATTATTTCTTAGGTTGACTTTTTTAATATACATGTAGATGACTGAAATATCCTTCATAAAAATAGATGTTCTCAGGCGGCATACCAGCATGTTCATTTGACGCATGGAACACCCATCCCTATTGTCATGACTTTGCCTCCTCTGGTACATTTGTCAATGGATTTTTGCCTTCGTATTTGCAGACAGAATCGATCAATCCTTGTAATAAAGTTTATTTTGGGATGGTCCTGTCAGTACTTACTGGGTTGTACATTTTACTCCACGCCAGTGTAAAATATATCATGGCTATTGATTTGTAGAAGGGGGCAAGGCCAATCAGAAGGGATGGAGGCAGATGAGACGTACATGCTCAAACAAAGTACAGCTATATACCTTGCGATCAATACTTACCACTAAACAAAGCGCTGCTCCGCTGAACCAATGCATGTGGCTTTTCATGAGAGGAAGGACACAGATGATGATATTGACAGAATATAATCACTCGCATTAATAATCGACCGCATGCGGCTATTTCAAACAATTATTCAAATTTACAACTTAGGGCGGACTCTGTCTTTTATGTCCTTAATTGACTATTGATCTATCGGAAAGAAGATGGCTTTGGCGATACATCACCATCAAATTGACAATTATTCGCATGAGGCGGCGCAGAAAGATGCGATGATTCGACTGTCACACGTGCATCCCCTTGTCCTGTCAAAGAGGTCGATGTACCTGAGGCTGCAACAGAAGTGGGTGTGAGAGCCACTCAGAATAACATTGGTAGACACGTTTACAGCGTATAGGTGATAACATTGCTTGCAAGAGTCTCTTGGTACATACATATCTTGACAACGTCATATAAGCTTCATTAAGACCTAAAATAAGAACGACTGTAGTAATGCGTTTTGGATGTGTAGACTGATTACGAATAATTGACCAATTATAAGTTTGAGCAAGATACAGACTGGGGAACCATCTTTGGAACAAGGAGTAACCAAACTTCTGTACATATATTGGTGTATTTTGGCTACATTAAGGTACTTTACTGGGTTTGGTATAAGTCCTTCAGAATGATAGTATTACTTAGTCCGTCTATGATGGCAAACATGTTCATATTTTGTTTTGATGTATTCCGTTTCTATTCTGTGTAATCAAAAATGCTTAATTGCACTCTCCCGTGCCAGGGTAATAGAATTCATCGATTCTATCACTATTCATATCACCACAGTGCACGGCTAAATGTGTCCCTACACATTGTCATGTACTGTTTCTAAAGGACACTAATTCTACTACAGTTGTACAAACACGTCATACACATGTAGTTCTATTTATGCGTTCTGTAAAATATATTCTAAAAAAAACAATTTAAAACGCAAGCATCAGTCAATTACTCGTTTCTTGTCTCAGTTGAAAGCTCATGAGTACGGTAATACGCTGTGGGCTCCAAGTATATCACGGTGACGAATACCACCAATTGGCTTCACACGCTGGAGAATCAAACCCCGGTCTTCGGTGTGACGGGAGAACGCTTTGACCAGTAGGCTATCTAACCGCCGGTCCTAATCAACTGAAACGTGGCGGAGATCTTAGCCCTTGATGAAAAAACGGACTCCTCTTTACCATAATGAACTAGACTTTCACAAGACCATTGACTATCTCGTGTTACCCGTAGTTAAAGTGAGTGAGTGAGTTGGGTTTAACGCCGCTTTTAACAGTATTCCAGTTATATCACGGCGTGTCAGCTTAATGTGGGAGGAAAGCCCCAAGTGATGCAGGTCTCAGACGTTTACCACTTCGGTGAAACCCACGAGCACGGGTATTGTGCTGACAAACCTAGAAACATAATCGGGGCGAACCGGGATTCGAACCCACAATCATAGGTTTCTGGCGTGCCCAAGGGACGCAACTCTGCACAGCGAATCGCGGCGCCTCAGACGACTGGGCCACCCGTGCCCCCCGTAGTTAAAGACAAACAGGGCGTCGATGTATATATTAGAGGGTTCTACTAGGTGTACCAATTCCTTGTGTTCCCCGTCTTGATTTTGCTGGAATATTGCTAAAAACGACGTAAAACCATACTCACTTACTCTACCGGGATCAAGTTACATCGAGATAATGAGGTTCGAGGTATCGAAGTTTTTATGTATGTACTTATGCATGATTAGCTTGCATGTTGACAGACACATGTACTAGTTACAAGCCAGGACATTTCAACAATGTCGGGAACACCTGGTGTCACCATTGTAATGAGAATGATTGGTTAATATGCCGGAATTGATAGCTTTCAATCTGATGGGTTGTATTGACAGCTACATGCACCGAGTTTCAGCCAGGCAATCTATACACGGATGGTTTGGTCTGAATATATCATGTAGATTAATTAAGTCTACCAGCCACGTTTCCGTTGTAGCGTTATGTATTATTCTCGACGCATTCGATAGCGGAATTCGTCATTTCAGCTCTAATAATGGTTATTTTTATTTTTTTGTTGGGGAATAATGGAAATATATATTAACAGTGAATAGTTATCATCCTATACATGCATAGAATGTACGCTAGACAAGCGAAAATACACAGCTCGCCTTAATTGTGGTACAAGCAGGTGTCACCCATGAAATCGAGGACGGCGTAGAAATTCAGTTTTCTTCATGATTTTATATGGCGCCAAATCCTCACCCTAAAGCATGCGGAAAGCGTTACATCATTATTCCAGCGGTCTGTAAATACCGGGTAAAAATTGGGTACCGGTTGGTTGGTTGGTTTGTTTGTTGTTTAACGCCGCACTCAGCAATATTCCAGCTATATGACGGCGGTCTGTAAATAATCGAGTCTGGACCAGACAATCCAGTGATTGACACATGAGGATCGATCTACGCAATTGGGATACGATGACATACATCAACCAAGTCAGCGTGTCTGACCACCCGGTCCCGTTAGTCGCCTTTTACGTCAGGCATGGGTTGCTGAAGACCTATTCTACCCCGTATCTTCACGGGTCTTCATGCCTGTAGTTTGTGTTATATTATACTGTGAATTACAACGCCTTCGAAACACTCAGATTGAATATTAATATACTTTGTAGAATGTTCATAAAAAGTGCATTTAAAACTAATATAATTCATGTCTAAGTTACGTTGATGTGTAGTTAATGGGTCGGATTATTCAACTTAGTGTTTATTCTTCCATTAATAGCATGTGAATGCCCCTTTAATAAGGGATCACTGTAACCATGATACTCCAAGTGCACAATCATGACAACGAGCCATACATATGAATGAGAAGATAAATTGTCTCCTCACTCCTATTAATCCACCGTTATGCGGCACCCAGAGTTTCAATTCCTAATAATGCATCCTTAATAACCCTGAAAGTTGTTACCACCAAGGTGTACGACACATTATATAATCTAATGCAATCGATCTATCTACTGATCATCAATAAGTGATTCAAGTAAAACGTGCTTAGCTAGGGTGTTTTTTTATAATTTGCTGGGACAGCTGTGACTGCTACCTTAGTTGTTGCCCACGTTGTGTGGGCATTGTATTTGGCCAGAGCCGTAGCCATGACTGCACATGTAATTATACAGTAACCGACAATATTTATCCCACGTGTTGTTTATGAATCTATTGTCAGTGACTCTTTAGCCCTAAAGCATTTCTACTGAATCCGAACAATAGCGGGACAGGCCAGCCGTAGGCCCTGGCGTGATCCGTTTAGCTTTGGGTAAGTGAGCGAGTATTGTTTTACGCCGCTTTTAGCAATATCCCAGCAATATCACGGCGGGGGAAGGGATGACGTCAGAAATTATGGGCTTCACACATTGTACCCATGTGGGGAATCGAACCCGGGCCTTCGGCGTGACGAGCGAACGCTTTAACCACAGGGCTTCGTTTAGCGTTGAGATATCGTGTGAAATTGCCGAGGAATAAAGTTATCTTATTTAAAAATATATTCTATAAACGACAAAAATCCAAAATTCAATTGGAGCCCAGAACAATCGTTTATTTCAGGGCGAGGAAATCTAGACTTGCCAAATCGTTCCAGACTTGAGTTGGACTTAATTTTCAATTTTATTCTCTTGGGTCGGGACAGAGACTACCCAGCATTCTAAACCACCTGCTGCCTGTGACTACATCCAGACCTAGCTGAACTATCCATGAATGATTCATTTAGTTTTGCCATTTGATACCCCATCTACTATTCAGATGAAACAGTTCATTAGCATAGTACCCCGACTGAAGGAAATGTGATAGCCTTAACCAGTCTTGATAAATATAAACACATTTTGTATCGTAAAACATCGAACAAGGACAGCGCTGTGAAAGTCAAATCTGATGACTTCCTTATATAAGTTGTGTTTCCCTGGCTTCTCCATACTGGTTTGCCCTACACACGGAAGTGATGACGGGAGCACGTTCGCATTATGAGTAGCTATTGGTACAAGGCTTCGACAGTGTGAGATGTACTTTAATAATTAAATCCGCGTGTAGGTTGTGATAACTGTAACGGCGGCACATCTGACTCTTTCCTGCAGGAACGGGCGTGCCACACCGCTTACTGCACTCCGCTCATCAATACAGTGCTGCCTAGCGTCTCGCGGTGCGAGCTCCACAGCCTGGGTATAAAAGACTGACTACATCAGCTGAAGGACTTCTCTCAGTCTTCTCTCATATGTACTCACGGCATTAGCTACACAACGGAACGTACTATGGTATGAGGCCTTCTACGTGACTGTATCTGTTTATCGGAATCCTTCCTTGTGTTTGAGACGTCGCGATCACTAATGATGGGCGGTATTCGGTGACATCTTGCTTCATTAAAGGATTGGGTTATATGCAGTGCCAACCTCTCTTGACTTGTCATCAGACATGGGGTGCAGGCAGGCCAAACCGCAACACACGGAGAATGACAAGACAGTTAAAACGGACAACTGTGAAACGGAGTTTACCACGGCAGTTGCCACTGATCCACGTCTACCTCTTGACCAGAGACAGGTGTTTAGGTTGAAACAGTCGTGGAAAGGGATTAAACGCAATATGGAACAGACAGGCGTCGAGATGTTCATCAGGTGAGCAAAAATTTGGATCATGTTCAATACAGTATTACTTTTCCGAATGCCGACAAAGATTAATAATTTAATTAAATTTTTTCTCTCTCTTGCATATATTTGTATAACATAAATACATGATAAAGGAAATTCGTATTGTCTTTAAAACAATTGCTCATTCCATAGAACAATGTCCACGTTAAAAATTCACTTTCATTACATTTGCAATATGTCAATACGTTTCTTTATCTATGGCAACATCTGGTTCATACATCGTTGATCTTTTGAATACGTATATGGTATAAATTGTATGTGTCTCTGGCTGAAAGTATTTGTTTTGCTGTAATTATTCAAAACTGAATTCAATTCACCAAAGATGGAGTCACATTGTTCACAATATTTCATCAGTGTTATGTGTAGGGCTACATTTGGCTGAGTGGTCTGATGTGCCACGTGTCCTTGTGTAAAGGAGCTTTCAGGACGTTTTGCAGTGGGTTCGAATCCACAAGTCGCCAGAATTCTTACACATGGTTTATCATTGCTGATTGACATCACGACCTACAAACCATCTTGTGATAGATCGTTGAGTGAGTTGGGTTTATCGCCCCTTCGAACACTCAGTCAGTGTTTCAGTGAGAGAGTTTGGTTTTATGCTGCTTTTAGCGATATTCCAGCAATATCATGGCGGGGGACACCGGAAATGGGCTTCACACATGATACCCATATGAGGAATCGAACCCGGATGTTCGGCGTGACGAGCCAACGCTTTAACTACAAGGCTACCGTACCGTCCTAGTCATTATTTCAGTTATGTAAAGCTGGTCACAGATGTTGACAACATTTGTAAAACTCACGGCCGTGGGGCTGATAAAACCAACACAAATGACCAAGGCGAAACTGGATTTTTTAACCAACAACCTGGATTCTGGTGCCACTCTGGAGGGACGTAACCTGAATTCCGACGCTTTATACGACTGTGTCATTCATGCCCCTCCTATGACTGAAATGTCGTTACTGTGGCAGCGTCACCCCGCGTCATGGACTGACTGCATTCTGATATCAAAGCCAACTGATTATTTTTGACATGTCATGAAGTGGCCATTTTATAACTGAAGAGGCGGCATTCTTCACTCGCTCATACCTGACCTATTTTTCTTCTGCTTGTCCTTTCCTTTATTTATGATCGAAGTATCAAATTGAGAACAACATTTTTATAGATATTTTTATAGAATTTTTCATTATACTATTATATCTCTTTATTGTTGCGCATTAACATTAATCTGTATATATTACTGATTTACTATGACTGGATTTGATAGTTCCCTTCCCTTGAAATATCGATCTAAATTGTGAACTACAGAATTGCGTCCCTTGGTCGTGTCAGAATCCGTTAATCGCAGGATCGAGTTCCATATTCTCCCCAAAATATCATCTTTGATCTTTCAGCGGTAGACCCTACCGGGTTTCACTAACATGGTTACCACCTGAGAACCGTGTCCATGTGGGCCTCCTCTCACATCAAGTGGAAGCTGACATGTCGTGATATAACCGAATTACTGTTCAAAGCAGTGTTAAAGACCAGATCACTCACTTACTGTATGCTTATGTTGAAATATTCTCAAGGCACTGCGGGAATTTATAGAACGGATATTTTTCACATCAGGCTAACGTTGGCAACTATCGATTGTGTGCTTTGAATTAGGCGATACGTTTTGTTGCCTATCCATTGAACACTTTTGTAAGCTGGAGTCGTGGGGTAGCATCGGAATCAACATTTCCTACACAATACCTGGGAGGCAATTACAGCTTTATAGAGCGAGGGGATGAGTATGGTACACTTCGCGTATATCAATATTCCAGCTGTATCATGACAGGGGACGTCAAAAATGTGATTAACACAATGTCCCCATGCTGGGAAGGAAAAACTTCGGCGTGTAGAATCAGCGCTTGAATCAAATGGTTACTCCTACCTTTGAAGTTCAAAAACAAATAAATATAAACGAAACGTAAAACAGTAATAACATAATGATTGTCAATTTGATTTTGAAAAGATAGCATTTAAGGCCCGGTGTCGTTTATGTTTGAAGTAATGAAGAAATAGAATCTCATTATACAGGCATATTAATAGAATCTGTGTGTCCCTTGGGCAGAAACCTACGATTGTTGGCTGGAATCTCGGTTCGACCCGACTGTGTTTCCAGGTTTGTCATCACCATTCCCGTGCTCATGGGTTTCACCGACGTGGTAAACGTCTGAGACCTGCATCACCTCGGGGCTTTCCTCCCACATTAAGCTGACACGCCGTGATATAAGTGGAATACTGTTCAAGCGGCGTTGAATCATAAACTCTCTCACTCACCCGTCCGAATTTGATGCCATAATTAAGCGATTCCGTTCAAGTCCAAGTCGGTTCCACAGAAGTTGATCCAAACTTTGATCCAAGCTCAGTCATGATCCAAGCTCAGTCATGATCCAAGCTCAGTCCTGATCCTGGCTGATTTATGAATCTCGCTTTAGTTCGTTATGATCCAAGTTCAGTTATGACTCTGGAACCAGAACGGGAAATGAGACCAATAAAGCAGTTCAATGGTTCAATATGTTATAATTAGTCCACACGGCAGTACCGCAATTAACTGAACTCGTGAAGGCGGTATGAGAATGGTAGCAAAATGCTCCGCACACTGCTGATCTTCCTGTGACTGACACGCTTCTTTAATACTGTATTTGTGTTGAGATAAAAGAATATGTACTCCTCGGCAAATGTTAAGCACCGCGTACTATGTATTTTAATTTAATAGTCATTTTAAGGCGTTTATTATTAAGAGATAAACGACGAGCGGGAGTTGTTTATAGTACAATAAAACACTGCAGGGAGGATAAACCATAACGGGCTCGTATTCTCACAATCATCACGTCGATTACCTGTACCTTTTCTGCCAATACCGATTGTCACACAGAGCTCCAGATAAGCTTTTGGTGTTGTGGGTATTTTACCCATGCATTTTAAAATCATTGGGTATCAGTAATTCTATCTGCGTATTCAAATTTCTGTTACCCACTAGTTTTTACACATGTGGGTATTTAAGTTAAATATTTAAAAACACTATTCATCTAGTCCCTGCAAACTGGTGTCGTGTGGGTTCGAGGGCTTTATAGGACTCAAAAATACCACGATACTTCCACAAGAAAGTGTGATGGCAAATGATCATGATGTAACTGTCATCACGGAGTTTGGCAAGGTTGACGGAATGCCCGTTTATAATTTCAAAATAAGTTGCTGATTTGCTAATCGAATACGCAGGGTAACTTCACAATATTTTGATGATACGCACAAGTTTTATTTTTGTAGCGTATCTGTAATGTTCGTTGCGTATTTGATACGCTTGGATTATATTTTACTGTGTATTTCTGCATTTCTGATGCGTATTTCACGCAGATACGCAGCTTATCTGGAGCTCTGGTCACATCTCTTCCGCTTTTGGGTGCTATCATTTGGCCATCGCGTTTATCTGCGTTGCCCAGCTACATCTATGGGGAACAACTCACTGGACAATCCCCTCTCAAAAAAAACGTCGTCTAATATACGACGTCATCAAGTTGCGAACACATGTTCGAATCTCCAGAAATTACATCCCGATAAAACAATGGTTTATCGTGAAATGAATCACACTTCGTTCTCCATTCTTCTTTGTGATTTATCGCGTAGCTATCTTATATTCTAAAATAATCCTTTTAAGTTTTGTTTTATATTCAGTATGAATATGTCACACTGTAAACAAACACAAACGTGTTATTTGTGTTTGTTCACAGCGTGACATGCATGGATTGAAATACAGAAACTGAAATCGATTATCGTGTAACATGTTTTGTCATTGTCCTTTGGTAATAGTTGTTTGTATGCTCTGGCGATGGCTGAACCTGCTTCAAACTGATTCATATCACCTTGTGTGAACCAGTCTCTGTGTCCATCGAAGGTAAATTACTGTATTCCAGTTACGGTGTATCAGCTTAATGTGGGAGGAAACCCCGAAGTCGTTTACCACTCAAACGTCATCGGGGCGTCATAGGTTTCTAACGAGCCTAATACGACTGGGCCTACCGTGCCCATCTAGAACAACGCACAGTGCTCCTTCAATTGCTGTCATTTTCGGGGCATTGTTTAAGATTAGATCAATGTCATATGTAAATGAAAGGTCGGGATATAAGAAGTGTTGTTTAACCCTGTACCAGGTGTATTTGATGTATACAAGGTCAACTACCTCAAAGGGTTTCGTTTCATTACACCAAGCACCGCTTAAACGTTCGTTATTGATTTACACAAAGCAGCTGAGCTGTTCAAGTCTTACGAAATGATTTAGCATCAAACGATGATAGGACGAGTGTCACCTAACGTGATAACATAGGGAATAATGGAAGGAAGATGCAAGTAAAATGTTGATCCTCCAAGACTTCTCTTAACACATGGAACAATCTATTGGCAAAGGCTATTATTCACTTAGCATTTTAATACCAAAGGACAAAATAAACACCATCCGTTCTAAGTATTTGTTAGCTTTAGTTTCGGTGGACATCAGGGTAAAGTAATTAATGAGAGAATGGACACGAGGTTTGGTAATCTTCAGAGTAGGGGCGGGTTGGGTACGTGGTACACAACTGGTCTGCTGTTGACAGTGGGGCATTGCAGGATCAATAGCAACGGCAAGGGCACGGATGTCTACACCACTGACACTAATGTCCAGATTAAAGACTGAAACCCGAGCCCCCAGGTCTCCAATATGCACGTCTCATTAATCCATCATATCTTCATTGTGGTATGGCTGGTATGGTCATGTTGGCGGACTTTTCACACCGCACACTGAACGGAATCATGAACTGAACGTGCATCCAGTACACAAGCATGTCACTATGCATTGACCTACATGACACACGCAAGTAAGCCACGTAATAACCTACACGACACAAGCAAGTCATTTGTGCATTGCCTACAGGACACAAGTCAGCTGTACATTGACTTACACGAC